GGGCCAAAAGTACAGCATATGGTGAGGCCCTGAGTGAGAGAGAGAAGATAATTTCAGGAAACTGCAATAAGCCAAAATCATACATATTTTGAGAGGGATAGCTTTTTGTGTATTGACGTACTTTGAAGCAGCAAAGAGAAAGGTATGCTTTAAATGAATAGTGCTCTAGTCAAGGAAAAAGCTGACTGGCTGGTCCCCGACAAGAGGCTTTCACTATGAAATTCATTGATGAATTAACTGTAAGAAAAACAGGGCTTCTAAGTCTTGTGCACTTACAAACACAATCTTTCTACATGCACCAGAGTTTGTGAGATACACACACACACACACACACACACACACACACGATTGATGAATTTATCAGGATGCCAGTTTACTGATATACTTTGAGATATTTGTCAAGTAGATAGCATACTGATTCTCTGACTAAGGGGTTTTCTGTGTACGAAGATTATATGAGAAATCAAGTTGCTTAGGAGCTTGGAATCACAACAAAGGAAATTAGATGTATGTTGTGGTCACTTAATAGCATTAAGCTCTGAGAACCTCTACAGTAGAGCTTAAATTGCCTCCAATTTCTGCCCCTCTGAATTAACTTTTTCTATTCCTGACAGCTCTTCTTTTTGATGAAAACATTCTGTCTTTAAATATGTTAAAACATTTATATTGTAGCCTAGTCTCTGGTCTTAGAGCCATTCTGTCTCTATAAGCTAACTTTGCATATATCTGCTCTGGTCCATTATGTACTGATTTATAGTTTAGCCTTCTAAAGGTAATATTATTTCTAAGTTTTTGTAGGCCCCACATATCATAGGGCTGTACATTGATGTTAAGCTCAACAATGAGGTCTGAGCTAGAGATGTATTATAACTATCAGCCTATTAGAGTATTTTGTTTTATTTTGCTTTTAACTTACCATGTCTGTGTGCTTACTGTGGTTCAGGCAGTCTGTTAAATGCTTTGCACTTATATTATTTGGCCCTTACATAGCTAAAAAAAAAAAAAATGCTGGAGTTGATCCTAAAGCTTACTCTTAACCATTATGTTAGTGTTATACTATAACCATGGGAGCAAATACAGTTGGCTATGGTGAGGATGCAGAATAAGAGCCACGGTAGTTTGAAACTGACCAGAGAAGGAAGGGAGTAACCAGGAAATGGGCAACCAAGGTTGCAAATTTCAAGAAGAAATGACTAGTCAATATGGAGAATGCTACCAACATGTCTAGAAGGCTAAAGTTACTGAATGGTTTGACAGTAGGTAGTCTCTGTTACCCTATAATATATGCATCTGGCATATATTCCCATATTAATATTGAATTACTATGCTGTATTGAGATAAAGACTGATTGACTTGGGTTGGCCTAGGGTAAAACCATACTGCTCCCTGAAGATAGGAGAGTCTCTCCTAAAGGGCTGGCATTTCTCTTGTTCACCTCTACCAAAAATGTAGGTTCCAGATCAGGAAACTACAACTTGGATAAAAGGATTTAAGTGGGGTTAGATAACTCTGGATCCTTCTGGGTTCTCTTTCCTAGGTTTAGTCTTTAAGGAGGGGATATGGTAAGCATGGATTCTTGGGTGGTGGGTGCTAAAATAGTGCTCACCAGTTGAGGGTAGATCAGGAACTATGATAGAACAGGGCCTAAAAGCCCCAGAGAGAAAATCCTAACTTTTAAGATTCACTGCCTGGTTACTTTTTTGGCGTCTGTGCTTTCTTCTCTTTTATTATCTTCTGGCTTTGGTAAAGTCTTATTTAAATATAACTTTATCTTTGCTGTATCAAGATATATAAGGGAAAGAAAAAGAGTCATAATCATAGATCTAACAAGCCTCTAGCATTATAAGGGGAGCAGCACCCTTCTCCCAGTGAAGACTAGTGAGAGGGACAGTGATAATGAGATCTCCAAGGGGAAAGTGAATATTAAGGACAAGAACTGGAGCTTGTAGATTTAACTCATAAGTTCCTCTTCTGCATGTAGAGATTCTTCTTCCATTGTCAACCTCAGAGGATCTGAGTTTTATTTATTAAAGAAGGCAATGCCATTTTCCTATCAGAAAATGACCTTTTTCAGTGCACTTACAGGGGAATGGAGGAATGAAATACTGATATTTGCATTCATTTGTCCAGTATTTATTGAAAACCTAATATGAACAAGCTCTGTGATTGGCATTAATTATACAGCAGCATAATTAAGAAGCTGCCGTTAAGAACTGCCCTTAAGCATACAACCTGCATGGAATATAGACTGTTCTTTGAAGAAGTTTGGCTGAACAGTGAGGGACAGAGATAGGATAGTAGCTGAAGGACTGTGTGAGTGATGATGAGAGAAGGGTGATGTTTAGCAGGTAGACTCAATGGGATTTGGTGACTGTTTGGATCATGGAGACAAAAAAAGGAAATGCCTGGGGGACTACTGTCCAGATGGTAAAGAGTAACTCCTTCCATTAATCAGAGTAGGGAATATATTAGGAAGACCAGTCTTGGATGGAAAGATACTGAGTCCAGGTTTGCACATGTTAATCATCTTGTCTGAGGGACTTATGAGTCAATTCAGGTGAACAATGACCAGTACTGCTTATGAACACCTTCTGTATGTGAAACCCTAACTGTTCTTTGTGAGATGTAGCTATAGATTCAAATAGTGAGAAGAGCATGGACCTTGGAGTCACAGTATCTTGGGTTTGAACCCCAACTTTACTTCTTACTGGCAGTGTGAATTTGGCCAGTTATTTAACCTCACTAACTTTGAATGTGGGAGATGAAATAGCCTTAGTTTTCTTACCTGTAAAGGAGGATAGTACCTGCCTTCCCAGGGCTGTTGTGAAGATTTAATGAGATAATATAAAGTTTTAGATTAGCAATTGGCACTCAAGAAACAGTGTC